CCGCGCCACCCCCCCCCCTCCCCCCCGGGAAGCGAGCCTGCCCGGCCGCCCACTCGCCAGGGGCAGAGGCTGCAGACCCCTGCCAGGGCGAACAGCACTGCTGCCACACCCAGAAGCCAGGGCTGGTACCCAGGCCTGCCGGCTGCATCCCCCAGGCCAAGCTCCTCCCCAGGAAAGGCGTCCGTCCTCGCCGGGAGGGACAGGAGGGCAGGCCCAGGCTGCAGTGGGTGGCTGAGCCCCACGCCGGGCATCACGGGGTGCCCAAGCCCCTGTGCAGCGGCATCACGGGGTGCCCTCAGCCCCTGCAATGGGCACCTGAGGTCCCAGGCCCCCCATGCTTCTCACTCATGCTGGTTCCATTTTCCACTCCAAAGAAGTAAAAGCTGTAGTTTTCTATCCCTCCCCTTGATGTACTGCAGAAAAGTGTTTCCCCAGAAGTAGCAGGAGATAAAAGGGGGGAAAAGAGGGAGAAATTAGCTACTTCACCCCTTGCTCCGCAGCCAAAATCAGCTCCCCAGGCCCCAGACTCCATCTGGAGTATTGCCATCTCTGGACACTACAGTAACTGACAGCTTTATCCTCGGGGCTACAGGCAGAGTTACACTAGGATACTGGATCAGTGCAACCCACCCAGCCAGGAGAGAAATCCTCAACACGTGGCCTAGAATTGTTTATCTTCAGGAAATCCTTTTGGCTCACGTTGCTGCCAGGCTGGCTAAAGCAGCAGCTCCAGCAAAGCACTCGCTGCCCAGGGCTGACCGGGCACCGGCGCTGACAAAGCCAGCGACACAGCAGCCACGTTTTGCACCGGGAGGGAAATCCGCGTGTCTGCAGGGACCTGGAGATGAGGTCTGAGCTGGCCCCAGGATGCCAGGCTTGGTACACGATGGGCTTTGGTGTGGTCCATCCCAGCACCGGCAGCAGCGAGCCCATCCTGTGCGGAAGAAGAGGGCAGCATCCCGGGAGATGACTCACGGCCACGCCATCCCGTCCCACCAGCCGCCCTCCCCAGACAGGCACTGGGATCAGGGCGTTCCTGCTCTCGCAGTTAGCAAGGCGAGCGCCTTCACCCGAGGCTTCCTCTCTCTGCACGTCTGAGCTTCCCACCGTGCGCTTACCGGAATGGCACTTGTCAAGGGGAAAGCCCCGCTTCCATCCACTCAGCTGCGATGGAAGAAGCCGCCCCGCAGAAGCGATGTACTACACAACATTAATTTGGCTGATACCAGGATGACAGCCCTCTGGGCATCGCAGGTAATTTTACTGCACTCCTCCCTGAGCAAACGTTTCTAAGAAAAGGTGAGCTGGAAGCAAAGGGAGCAGGGGGGCAAGAAAATTTAAAAAAAAAAACACTAAAACCCCCACAAAAAAACCTTCCAAAACTCAACAGTGAACAAAACTGGCATGCAAAACACCACCCTCTGAGTCACCAAAAAAAAAAAAAAAAAAAAAAAAAACAAAAATTACATTTTA